ACTCTGTGAAATAAGCTGAACACTGTGCACCTACAGTATGTAAGGCCACAGAGGCTCAGATGTGCACTAATGTTGTAATATCCTTCTTACTCCATCACAGGTGGAGTCAGTCTCGTGTTTCCAGCTGGATCAGTTTGAGTCGCTGCTCTTGCCGGAGAACAACCGACCTCTAGATCCCAGCATCCTGCTAACAATCAAAGAGCTCTTCAACCGCTCAAACGCCGAAATCACCGCTCTGCACATGCTCAGTGTTGACTGTCAGGTACCTCTCCACAGGCTAATGTCAGAATCATTATGTGCTTCATTTTTAGTTTTTGCACACTTGATAAATGCAGTGAAAAACAGAACGTATAACAGCATATCAAGTGTTGAAATCAAATGCAAGTAATAGGCGGAAACTTGCACAGAGGGTGTGTGCTGGTCTGTTTTGTACTCCAGCTGTCTAAGACTTCCTTAAAGGAACAGTTCAACCCAAAATCAAAAATATGCGGTTACTCAAAATAATCCACAGACCTTGTTGTGAACAGTTTCATGTAGGAACTACTTTCTTTCTATCGAGCTCCTCTCGCCAATCCTATAACTCTGCAGAAAGAAGTATGCATCTACTCATGGACGAGAGGCTCGTGCTTGTGACAGAGCAAGATGTAAACGTTAATGTCACTTCATCCTCGGCTGAGCTTTAACGTTCTTCTGTGCTGTGATACAGTTGGTGGGTATAGTTTGGTAAAAAGACGAAACTGCTCACTGCAAGGTCTGTGGATTATTTTGAGTAACCAGTACACAATTTCTGGAAAGAGACGTTAAGTTTTTAAAATGTATTTCTTTAGCGCTTTGAGCACAAGCCGAGCGCCGTCTTGTTCCAGTGTTACATACGTGAAAAGGCCAACATCTCAACGGCTGATTTCTCCAACACTCTGACTCTTACACCCAAACAATCTAGATTGATAAATAGCACCACAGGTAAGAGGAAAAATATGCATTTTGGATTTTGGGGTGAACTGTCCCTTTAAGAGACCTCTGGCGCTGTCATAAATTTGAGTATTTTTAAGTCATAAGAAATTTCATGAACAGCTTTTAATCTTTTCTTTATGAATCATAGTGGGATCTTTCACTTCTTTCTTTCACTTAAGTTCAAAATGTCCCTTTTATTAGTTTAATTCAATGAATATTGATTCTGGTTGATGACATTCAATGAAGTCAACAAACCAAATTCCCACAAACTGAGAGCAGCTTGAATAATCACTCATTAATGAACTGAATATAAAACCTGACTGGCCATTGATCTGTCATTTTTGTGGTGCTGCAGGTCGCACGCATCGTCGGGGTGACAGATGAGCAGAAGAGGCTTATGGGAGTTGGATCAGGGTTGGAGCTGGTCACTTTGCCGCACGGACACCAGTTACGACAGGATTTGTTAGAAAGGTACATGCAGTGACACTAATAAGTGTGGGTTCATCCATATTACAAAAACTCCCAACGTATTTCCTCACTTATCTCCAGTGGTATCAGCCATGCAGATATTGCTGACATCACCACAAACAATGCATGTGAATGGAATTTAGTTTGTGGTGTAGAATGCATTACAAAAGTAATGTGACAGCGACATCTCTTTCCAGACTCGTCACTGTGGATAATACACAGAAAACGCTGTTAAGTTTTCAGCAGGGCTATTTCTTTGGTGAACAGTAGTTTTGTGTTTATCCAGAGTAAGTGGAAGGATGTGGACAGAAATGTTGCTGCATTTTTACAAGTCATTTTTAAATTTCATTCACCTTTATTGTATCTATCTGGGCGGCTAGATGCCACTGGTGGGAGACCCTCACCTTATTTAATCCTCTGCCTCCACACACCTCTGATCTATTAATCTTTCATTTTTTAGGCATCATCTAATAGCACTGGGAGTCGCAGTGGACATCCTGGGCTGCACAGGGACTGTGAGTCAGAGGGCAGCTGTTTTACATAAAGTAATCTTATTGGCTCAGGCCCTGAAAGAACACGCCCATGACCTCTACTCCTTCTCAGCGGTGATGAAGGCCCTGGAGATGCCACAGGTAGTGTCACTATGTTTGCCATATGCAAACTAAGGCAAAGTGGAAGTTTTCTTACACTCATGGCATGTTTGTGTGTGTTCATGTGCAGATAATGCGACTGGAAATGACGTGGCGAGCGCTGAGGAGGAATCACACAGAGACTGCAGTTTTATTTGAGAAGAATCTCAAACCCTTCATGAACATGCTGAATGAGGGAGACGGTGAGTCATGTGGTAGATTTGTCTGATGTGACCTGTCAAACCCAGATGTTATCGCATATTAAAGTGCAATACTCACAAATAAAAATCTAGAAGTGTGCTACATTGCAAGTGCTTAGGCCTCCTTTTTTATAAGAAATTAGAGAAGAAGAATCAAAATACAGACCAACTTATGGGAGCCACAGTCAGCTTGTTTGTCTGCAATGTAAAAATCAAACTTATTGAAAGAAAAGCCAAACTGAAACTGATCTTGTCTCATCGTTTGAAACAATTTATCAGACTTCCTGCAGTTCCCTCCGGAGCCACAAATGGCTTTATACTTCCCTTTTCACATTCTGTATGCAGTAGTACTCCAAGGCATATAAAATACTTTGGAAGTTAAGCACCCTTCTTCTTTAATTAAGTAAAGCTCTGGGGAGGAAAAACACCTGTTGCTCCAGACAGGTTAAAATAAATGCTGCATAAATAGGTTTGTGACCCACTTTTAAGTCATGAATGTATTGCATTGAGTCTAAAGAGTTCGCATATTTTCTGTAGACTCTCAGGTCCACGGTCCCATAGCCGTGCCACACCTGGTTCCCCTGCTGATGGCGATGGAGGGCGATGACCCGGTGGAGGACAGTGAGCGAGGCTGTGAGCTTCTCTACGACGTCCTTCAGTCAGCTCGCAGTGCCGCGCTGCACGCACAAGATTATCAGCGGCATGCACACTCTCTGCTCACAGGTACGCACATGCATGTACAGTAATGTCAGATGACGGGCCTCATGAAAGAACATTATTGTATTCTTATCCTAAATATTTTCCCCTATATGTGAGGTTTTGTTCTTGTGAATACTCCATGACGGATTCACCAAACTCTTAACTGCACAAAGTAGGGCGGGCGATATGGAGGGAATCAAATTTTGATCAGTAATGTGAATGTAATGACTAAGTGGGTAAAAGCAAGTCATAGAATGTCTAGAACAGTCTGGTAAGTTCAGAAAATGACATCACTTTAGTGTAATGCAGTATTTAAAACCATAAAAAAACAACTCTTACAATATTAGGATACCTAAAATCTAGGACAATACATCACATTATCAATATATTGTGTAGCCCTAGAGCAAACTTGTCATGAATCACTTGTTAAAAAAACCATAAACAAACCACAAACAATGGTGCAAAGCTCTATAAGGCGAACTGCTCTGCTCCGTTTGTGGGCACGTTTCAATCACAAAATGTTTTTACCAAATACTAAAAGGATGATTTTCCTAACAATAACTGATTTGTAGAAGTTGTCCTGCCAAAATATGCTGATAAAAGCTACAAGACAGAAAATGCCAGACCTCAAACTGTCAACCCAAAGACAATGACATGTTGAACAGAATGTTAAAGGTATACTATGCAAGATTCTCCTAAAAAAAAGTGCATAGAAAAAGGTGCCAGACTGTGAGCCGCAGGCATCTAAGAGACACAACACTGAAAAAAACAAATACAGTGAGGCGAAACACGAAATGAGGAAGAATATGGGGTTGGCTTTCACTTTCGCTAATGACCCTATAACCAACATAGTGTGTCCTACATAGAGTACCTTGAATTTGCTTAAGTTTATTTAAGTGAAAAGTAGTTATTCATATATTATTTATCATTATTTTTATTTAATTGATCTGTATTCTCCAGTCAAGCGGGTTGAGAGAGGCAGACTTTCTATAGATGACTTGTACGACAGGTCTGGACCACTTAGAGTTTTTTGAATGGAAAAGAAAATTCAAAGTACAAGAAATTTGATGAATTCAATAAATTCTCTTATTCTCAAACAACTCATACACGCCACTTGAGAACTTAACTGTTTGTACAATTGAAAGGTGGACACAGTTGCTCTGGCAGGAAGTATAAGTATATTACACTTAAAAAACTGATGTGAAGATACATCACTCATGGTATCTGATCTCATGTCCATCATATTATTTCAACAGCAGGCTGGGAGCCAGTCCCCGAGCTGCTGGAGGCTTTCCGGACAGAGTTCGCCCTGCGGCTGTTCTGGGGTCATTCGGGGGCAACGGCTGACAGAGAGGAGCGCTACGAGAAGTTTGACAAGATTCTTTGTGTACTCTCAGATAAACTGGAACCCGTGGAGATCACCCCACTACAACCCGACCCTCTAACCTGAGCCTCAGGGCCTGTTTCACTAAGTGAAAGGTGAAGTCAACACTTTCTTCACACGAGGAAAGAAAGATGAGAGTAAAAATGTTTTTAGTTGCGTCTCGGTGTGTTGCGGTAGCCAAGGCAGAGATCTTACCCCTAGGATCACACAGACATAAAGGAAAAAGTTATTTTGGAGATGCGAGAGACTTTCAAGCTTGTCAAGTGACAAGTTAACTTATAAAAGAATGAACTATATCTGGAATGTGTGGGCTGTCCTTTACTGTGGAGAAGGCTGCGCTGGATTCATTTTCCTTTTACAGGGAATCTGAAATTGTTTACCCCAAAACTAGCATCTGTTTACTTCTTTCAATGTGCATTTCTGACATCAGACACTGCTTTATCTGTCAACACCACTTGTTGTTTGATACTTGAGATTCCAGAGGACCAACATGAACATTATTAAAACTGAGTTAGTCCCCTTTGTACATAAACTGCTGCTGTAAGGGACCACAGTGGAAATTGTGTTTTTCATTTCAGTGTTTTTAAAACAATACATGTATTTGTTTGATTTGTGCATGAAATGTTTCTCATAAATGATGCTGTAAAGAAACAAAGAAGACCAGGAATGTTTTTTTTCTTTATACTTTATGACTCAAACAATACACGTAAATACATACTTTTCTTTTTAAAACTGGATCATACAATAAAACCCCTTAAATGTGGAGAAAACTAGTGCAGGACAGAGTGGTACAGAAAGAGATGGTAAACCTTATGTGGCACAATTAAATATTTTTAAAGTCCCCATGCACTCAAATATGTGTTTTGCCTATTGTTGCTTCTCTTGGAAGGTGCAGAATGATGTTTGTGCAGAAATTTCTCTGCACTCTCCTTTAATCTGAGGTTAAAACACGTAAAAACAATTGTCCAATTAGTGTGATGGGAGAAGAAGTAATTTAGGGTTCCCACACATTCGTTGAAAACTTTTTCCATAAAATTTTACGCCATTTCCATGACGTTATTTAAATAGTTATAAAATATGGAGGACAAGCCTATATACATGTAGCGACACAGCCACACATAATTAAACACACTTATCAGCCACTCAGCAGAGTTAGCTCAGTTAGCATTTGCCGACCTAACTCCCTCGTTAGATATTCGTGCTGCCATCTAGCTGCATGTGCGAATAGACCAGACCGTCACATACGGGTAACTCCAAGGCCACACCCCTTTTGGGGGGGGGGACAGAAAACTGAAGATCCTGTATATAGATGTAAATGCAACATGAAGTGTGTTTAGATTATAAATTTGACGAGTTGCATTTGTTACTTGTAAAACAACCAGTTTTTTTAACGGACTTGTCTAATAACTGTTTTGCGGCCTTGCCTGAACCTGAACTTCCATCATACCTTCATAAATTAAGGCCAACATGTTCCTTTAGTCTTCCTCCATTCAAGTGGATCAGTGACACAAAAACCACAGCCAGATAGTACTTATCTGCACACCTATGTCCCAATCATATTTGACTGAATCACCAGGTATCGTAAAGCTAAGTGTTGTCTGTTTGATCTAGACTGAGATTTAGTTGGAAACGAAAGTCTGATGCTGATGTACTGTGGCAGCCTCCCACTCAAGCTAATGTTAGCTATCCATCAGTAGTAACTGTCATTGGCATAATTTAACGATTTACCACACTGACAGTGAATATCCACTCATCTTATGGCCTCAAATCTCAGTGTGAAAGCCTTGGTTGACCTGCCACACGACCATTTCTCAGCATTTCCTGTTTCACTGATCATGTGACAGCATGTTTTCTTTCCAACAATAGGGGCCACGGCCTTGATGATGACACAATGTTGGTCTGTGTGTATTGGGGAGATACTAGTGACATTTCACGCACTGCAGCATTGGATTTTAAATTAATATTCAAGGAACATATTTTGTATAATGTGAGACATGTTTGGGGATTTTTATGAACATATTTAAAATAATAGCTAAAGCTTTTTTTTTTTTAAAAAAAAAAAACAAAAACAAACAATCTGTTGATTCAAAACCATTTCCGGACCTGAGAAAGTTTTCTAATTTTATAAATTTCCTGGGAATTTGATGACTGTGGGAACCCTGGTAATTTCAAGAATTTTTAACTACTTATTTGACTGACAAAACTTCTTTTGAGTGAGAGTTTTTGTGTGTCTGTAGTGTGTCTTTAAACACTCCTAGCAGATTTTAAAAGTGCTTAATCTTTTTTTTCCTGTCCACTACTTGGCAGTGATCCAGTGAGGGGCTGAATCTTAAAACTCCCATTTCCTCCCTTTGAATCCTGATGTCATTAGTTCTTTGGAAATTTGGTCGAACAGGTCATCTGGATTTCAATTCAGAATAATGGTAACAATTGTTTCATAGGATTTGAGAAGGCCTATAAGAGTGAGATTCAGAGAGCTGGGGGCTCAAAAAATGAAAACAGGTGGTTAAACTGCGTAAAACAAACCGGTATACAAGTATGAGAAATATAAAAACCATCAAAGAACCAGTTAAAGACCAGAGTTGAAACCGCTCTGCCACTTTTGTGCAAAGTTGGAATATGAAAGTGAAGATGAAAAAATAATAATTGCTTGTTATTCACTTTTGAGTTGCGCATATTATTGTTAGTTTTATGATGTCAGTGCTATGTTGTGATCTGTGAAGCAGCAACCTCAAATGCAGGCACTTCACACAGTATTTGTGTCTTGAATGATAAAATTATAACTGCTGTATTTTTTTACTTTAACTTTGTTCAGTATTGCCACTGTGCCTTACCTTTGGTTTTTACCCAACATGACTTAAAGTCACAAAACAACATTGGAAAGCAAGTTTCCTTTGAAATGTCACTTTAGTATTAACAGATTAGGTTCACATTTCTTCTTGAAACAATACTCACGTGCACATGTGGACATTAAAGCAGTTTCTGCTTGCTGTAATTATTCTTTGAGCTCATATTGGCCATTAAAATAACGCTTACTAAAGCACTTCTAAGGTAGGTAGTAAGGGACAAAATCAACAGCTCATATCTTCCAGTTTTAGTCTTTTTAGTATGAATGTGCATCTTTTCCTGTAACTCAAAGACGAAATATTTTGTATTTTTTTAAAAAAAAAGGAAAAAAAAAAAAAGGTTATCATGTGATTAGTCCTGTTAAGGGGTGGCAACCTTTACTGTCAAAAGAGTTTTGCCCCCCACAAAAAATCTGTCTAGCCGTGAAACATATTTGAGGCTTATTATGAAGGCAACACAGCTTATTAAGTCTTAATTAGCCTATCAACATTACTAAAAGGTCTAAATCATAGACTAAATAAAATGATTGTAGCCACTGTCATCCATTGGGTTGTGAACTCAGGGTTTGAAGCCTGGAGTTCGTCATTTTGGCCGTCGCCATCTCGGTTTGAGCTGTGGCGGAGCTAGCGGAAGATCTGACTCATAGACTGGGGTGACATCTTGCAGACAGCCTGTTGCTCAAAGCAGCCACATCCTTAATTTTGCGTAACTTTAAGCCTTCAGAAGATGCAAACAGGTGAGTTATAAAAAACTTCACCCTCAGTACAGTTGTCAAAAACGGGGAAATTAGCGAAAGAGAGCAAAATTGCATTTTATACCAGGTTGTGAACATGTTTATTTCTGCTGTAAAGTTGGGCATTTTAACATGGCAGTTTTTCGGGGGGATTTACTCGCCCTTGGAGTCAACCTCAAGGAACTGCAGTTTTTGGCACTTTGACACGTTGTCTTCATTTTTCAGCTCCAGAGGTTGCTGCAGGTCTAAATGAGCATTCATTTATATGTTTTACCTCAAGGTGGCTACTCTGCAGGGGGCCATTTATGATTAGGTGGTACTTTAACTTTACAGCATTGGCGGAGAAAGCAAACAAATCTGTCCCTGTGTGATTAAATTCTCCGTTTTCCTCAGCGACTTTTTCTTTTTCGGATTTGGAGGCCATAGCTAGTCTATCTAGCTAGCCACCCCTACTGAGGGTTGGCAAAATTTGGAGAAAAAGGTGCCAGGCCGATGTATGACCCACATTTTAGTGGATAAAATGCTATACTTTTTTTTTAAATTCAGTGTACAGGCTATAGAACTTTAAAACTGGAGAATGTAAAAATTACTATAGACCTACAACAGTGATGAACGAAAAAAAAAAAAAGTTTTTTCAAAGCCACAGGGGGCCACTGGAGAGAGGCTAAAGAGCCGGATACAGCAACGGATCTGTGGTAGGTTGCCTACCCCTAGCCTCATATTAGTTTCAGAAAAACTTGAGAGCATTTTTACCCAGAATGAGGACTGAGGAAATTATCCCCCATCACTAACATTAGAAGCACATTATAAAGGGATCTCTTCAGGGACAGTATGAACAAGATTACAGCGTGCAAAACCCAGGTCAATATTCATATGTGCACCTCATTATTGTTTAAGACAAACAATAAAAATGTGAACCTCTCCTTTATCATGACAGTCCACTGAGAGACATTGTGTTTTGTGCACTCTCTATAGAGTAGTGGTTTTCATCCAGTTATAATTCATACAACATCACATCACTATGATAAAAAAACTCACATTATTCTGTCGGGAAAAAGCTTTTAGCAGAGGGCCAAAAAGAAAAGACTCAGCAGGTTATTATGGCAGTGGGAAAGTCAAGTGAATGGATATATATGAACATAAGGAAACGTAGCGTTCAGGCTACTATGATGCTGAATATGTTACATAAATCGTCACTTAACGCTGTGACAGGTAAGGTTCAGGTATACATTCATAAAATTTATATTTAAAAGAGCTGAAATCTATATAAAAATGAGACAGTCTGCATTTAGAGACAGCCTCTCCCTCCGCAACAAGCAGGGACAGGGACTGTATGATATTGCAATCAGCCTCGATAACAAGCTTTCTAATCACTCCCTTTCATCTCACTATACACGTCACTGGCTGAGATAAAAGATGTAGAGAACAGCTCCAATTATCGCGGATGACTTTGTATTCACCTTTGGCTCCTAACTTGCTTTCCATCACAAGCTTTGTGTGTGTGTGTGTGTGTGTGTGTGTGTGTGTGTGTAGTGTGTGTGTGTGTGTGTGTGTGTGAGTGAGTGTTACGGGGCAAGTTTGACATAGGATGAAGGTATATAGCCCTCTTCTCCACTGGCTCTAAGGACTCTCATCCATCCATCTCCCTTATCCTCCTCCATTACACTCAGCAGCTCTCCCTCTGAAATGGAAATTGTGCCCTCACTGTTGCCTGCACACCAACACAGACACAAAAGTAAGACACATATAAAAAGGCTAAAATAAGAAATAATTATGAACAAGTGGAGTGTGAATGTATCAACATACCTTCAAAGGTGTACAGAGCCGTGCACTGGCCAACAGGAGTTTCTACGTCGTCAAACTCGTCTTCAAACTCTGTGTAGATGTTCTGAGACTGGTCGGCTGCTACGACACTGGAGATATGAATAAAATACCAACATCAAGATATGTCATTTACTCAGTGTATTCTGCGATACACACTCACATTTAAAGAAATGCTTTGACAGGTTTACTTCTTTTTGTGCCAAGAGAATTCAATGAGAAGACTGGCACCACTCTGATGTCTGTACAAAAATAAAGCTAATTCCAGCAGCTGGTTAGCGTAAAATAAAGACCACTTACCAAAGCCTAAACCTCACTTATCAAAAACTGATTTGATCCATACACAGACTGAAGTGTAAAAACGACAGGATGTTTTACAAGGGGCTTATCGTTGATGTATGGAGGACTGGACATAGCATTCAAGGCGGGCCCCATTAATTCCTTAGACAGTTGCTCAGTGGCACATGAAGCCAAAAAGTTAAACTTCCCAGTTATAAAATCATCCAGATGTTCTGCATCTTGGGGCCCATAGAGCAGGCGCACTGGAGACTTTCACTGGCCGGGCAGCTAACTTCCAGTTTAGCCCCCCGCTATGTTGGATGGGGATAAAATGATTTAATCGTGCGGCTCTTCTTGACTTTTGAAATGTTACTGAACCAGGATCAAATTCTGATTGTGAAACAACTCATTTTGGGATACACAAACTCCACTGAGTTCCATTGATTTACAGATGTCTCTTTCACAATGCAAGGTCAACCCGTGACAGCCCCGAAGGTGTAATTCCACCGTTTGCCACTAGATCCAATTGGTTTCAAAGCCAATCACTGCTCCTAGGGGCCTCGGGTTTATGTTATGTGTTATTTCTTCGCCAGTGCAGTGTCTGGATTTGATCCATTTGGTCCGATAACATTTCAGAAGTCCCAATTGAAGACAGCTGAGTGCTAAAGTTGTAAAGAAGCTGAACTTGTTTGGCTCATGAGCCACTGAAAAATTTAGATAGGTCACCCTCGCCTTGCAGGTTGTAGCGGTTTGTATACAATCTTCCTGCTTCTTTATTCTAAGCTAACAGGGTGCTGACAGTAGCTTCATATTTACTGAACAAACGTGAGAGTGATGTCAAGCGTATTTCCCAAATGTCAAACTACTCTTTAAAACAGAGGTCTTACCCATGTTGAGTATTATTGTTGATGGCGTTGGAAGATTCTTCTCCTCCCACCGCTTCTGACAGCCACGTCTATAATGAACCAGCAATAGATGTTAAGACTTGCACAAACGCACAAACACTGTAATCTGAGCTGCCATGCACACAATATGAGCATGTGTGCATGTGTGTGTGTGTGTGTGTGATAACCTCATATTTGGTGAGCTCCCCCCTCAGGCGACCAATGTTCTGGGCAGTTTCTGTGATCTGAGGCTCCAGACTGTTGGGGTCACCCATCTGCGGATTCTGCTCGTACACACCCTTCATCTTCTCCAGTGCTTCACTGAGGTCAGACAAAGGGAGAAAAATGCTATTGTTTTGGAGACGTGAACACTCATTGAGGAAGCTTCTCTCCTGTGCAGCAGCGCTGATAAGGAAAGAAGGGACGGGCAGAAGTTCTTTAGAAGTTGGGAGACGTGCTGAAGGGACATGATGTACTGCTGTGTATGACAGTAGTGAGGTCAGGCGCTGATGATGGGTGAAAAAGCCTTGCTCACTGTTACACATCATCCTGAATGTGCTGGATGGGGTTGAGGTCAGGGCTCTGTGTGGACCAGTCAAGTACGTCCACATCAAACTAGGAAAATTGTTTCTTAACAGACCTGTCTTTGTGTCCAGGGGTATTGTCACAACGAAACAGGAAAGGGACTTCCCCATATTAGGAGCACACTAGTGTCCAAAATGTCAAAGCATTTAAATGTATACTAAATCCAAACCATAAACAACAGCCCCAGACCGTAAGAACAGCTGTGACTATTTTATAATTTAAAATTGTATATTCATCTGTACCTGCAACACACACAAAAAATGTATGAAGGATATCACAGTAAAACTAAAAAATCTAATTTCCATTGTGGAAATAAGCCAATTTAAAGTACTGAAAACCAACTTTGTTACTCTGCCTCTTACTATAAACAATGAAGTCCTATATTAACACACAATTTTCTAACAAAGTTGAAACTGCTTTGGTGGGGCGTCGGTGGCTTGGTGGTAGAGCAGGCGCCCCATGTACAAGGCTGTTGCCGCAGCGGCCCGGGTTCGAGTCCAGCCTGTGGCCCTTTGCTGCATGTCACTCCCTCTCTGTCTCTCCCCCTTTCACACTTGTCTGTCCTGTCAATTAAAGGGTTAAAAATGCCCAAAAAATATCCTTAAAAAAAAAAAGAAAAAAAAAAAAGAAACTGCTTTGGTTGTTTCACATGAGAGACATCTGTATCTGTGTTTTTATCTGCTCTCTTTGATTACAGAGTTTATTACATCCCTGGGGTTGTTTGCTTATACTACCTGACAGCTGTCAATCAAATCTGGTTAAAGCACACGCACACAGTCCCGATGAAGCAGATTAGCTCAATGTTAAACTCTTGATAAGAAAATAATTAAGATATTTTCCCCCTACATATTATCCACGACCAATTAAGCAACAATCAAAGTTGTCCCATGTTATAGAGAGACACTTGTCGTGCCAAAAGGATGGAGGATAGAGGTTGTTTCTTGACACCTTCACCTGCACCTGATAATGGTTTTAAAGTAAATCTGAAAGCTTGCCATTGGATGATTTTGTCACCTTTGGTCCTGTGCCTTCTGCAGCTCTTTGGTGATGTCGTCAATCTTCCCCTGCAGTCTCTTCTTCCTCTGCTCCGGAGGAAGGTGAGAGAAATCTTCTGCAGGAGGCAGCTACACACACACACACACACACACACACACACACACACACACAGTATCATTAGCATCATGTATACGTCAGGCTTATCAATGATCACCACCAGATGTCACTCCTCCCTGTTTCTATCTCTTCCTTTCCCCACTGATAATGAGACGTCTACACACAGAAGGAAACCTAACAAGAGGGAGCCACATAATTATTATGTGTCAAGGAAATAAACCCTGTCCAAGGTATGAAAGGAGTGATGGGAAAACAAAGGAAACACACATGGTTATAGACAGAAAGAGTGAGGACAAGGACTGTGTAAAGTCTTATCACATCCCATAATTATATTATTGAATTTCACCTGTCGGACTGATGCAACATGTTAGACTCTTTCCCCTGTGATGCCATGCAGATATACATTTAGGTAAGTGCAAGAATTACATTTGATTTATAAAAGATCACTTGAATCTAAAAACTGTATCAAAGAAAAACTACAATAAATGAAAATGAGGTTTAAGATGCTTTTTAAAAAATGATTTTAGATTATCTGAGATTTTGAAATGGAGTTCCTTAGCTGAGGAGTAAAAAAGGCAAAAGCAAAAATCAGGTGTAGTTTTACGATCTCTGACCTTTGAACTGCCCAAATATCTTGGTTATGTTAAAAACCTTGCTGCAGACATCTGGAAAGGTTTGAGCTAATGCAGACTGACTAAGGGAGGTAAACAAGGTGTGATGTCGTAACAGCATGGGTGATTTTCTCAAAATCTTGAGTTCAAAGAAGGGGCCTTGTTCAATCTCTTGAAGTTAAATAACGACTTGAGATTACAGATTTAAGATGTCACCACCAAAATGATAAATTGGCAACAAATCTAGACTATTTCTTTGAGAAAATGAGTTAAAAACTGTTCACAGCATGTTTGTTTGCATTAACCAAAGAAAGTAGCAGCGACACTGTTAGTGAAAAGAAATGTTGCTGTTGAATTTTTTTAAAAAGCAAATGTCCACTCACATTGTTCTCCAGTGCAGATCTAAAAACCAAAATTATGTGCATGGCTACATACAAGTGGAAGAAATAGAAATATATATTTTTTGTAATTTGAGTGAACTAACCATTTAATTCTTTGCTACAAAAATAATATTCAGTGCTGCACAGTTATTTTCTAGATTGGACGGTAATGGCTATGTTAGTGCTATCAAATGTTAGACATTGTGTGCATTTCTAAAATCAGAGTCTTGCTTTTAAAAGTACATTTGGCATCACAGAATAAAGAATTAATTGTCTGATATTTAGTTTAGAGGGAAAGTTAATATTGTCTCCTGAATAGAAACGTAGGGCCCTGTGCCATTAGAAAGATGTTTTTCATTTTGTAAATTAAAGAGTAACTGCACCCAGGAAAATAGAGCTGCTTGCACCGCCAGCTAATGGCGACAACGTTCACTTTCAACATGCTCTGCAGCGTCACAGCTGCTTCTACTACAGCAGACAACACCTGGCCACACCCAGCTGTGATTACAGGTGGGGTCAAGTAAAACCCAGTCACACCTATGTTTAGAAACAGCTAAATGTCACAGTATAATCCGCTTATTTCAGTTGAATTGGTGCGATCAGTGCGACGGAATAAGTGTGCGGAAGTTATGTCTTTTGAATAAAATCAATGAATTTTTTTTTGACCAAAAACCTGAATCTTGTTTGTGTCTCTCATGTTTTACCGTATCATTGGAGTCACACACATATTTAGTTAGTAAACAGTAGAAAACAGCATGGAGGCCACTGAAAATGTTACAGCGTTGCCCTCTTTTTTAAATCTCTTATTTATTCTGTCTCTCTTTCAAACTCAGTGTTAACTAAATTTTGATCAGTGTTTGAGCACTGCTTGAATGGGACTTAAATTAGCGCATCCACCCCAGTGTCGTATTTCCATCACTGTCAATCGAAGCCAATTGGAGTTGGAGCCGATAAAAACCTGTGATGACTGCAGAGTAATCTGGTCATGGGAGTGTACCCCGACTGTAACCTTTCCCGCTAAATACAAAAGCCAGATAATAGTGGGTTAGTGGGGTTTTTTTGTGCAGTGGGAAAGCAGCAGCTTGAGTAACCTCTAACACTTTCTCACAGATGTGCGGATGGATTTCAGTGTGTCAATTTCTGGTGTGACAGGGCCTTTATACCTTTTTACCCGCAGAGATCAGTGCAGCTTGATCCAGTGTGGAGTTACTCCTTAAAAAGTATTTCCCCTTGAAAACAATCCAGCACCAGAACAGTTGTTTAAGCACCTTTAAGTATACCCTCTATGTAACGTTAATAAGTGTTACCATTTGCTTTTCAGCATGCGATATCTGGACAGAGAGAGGACACTCAGCATGAGTTAAGTGTACAACAGGCACACCACATGGGAAACATACTTTAACAATAACAAGCATGACATGTCGAGGTACAACAGCTTATTCTGATGAATGGTATCCATGAGACAAATACATGAGGGGGGAGACGTTCACAGACAGCGAGGGGAAGGACCTGAGCAGATGTAGTCACTCACCGAGTGCTGTTTGTGTAATATCTTTAAAGTGGAAATCCTGGGTTTGATAGAGCGATTAAACTCTCTCAGGCAGAGAGAGAGGGGGGAGTGCTGCAGCTTGGAGAGGGGGAGGGAGAGGGGGTGGCTGCCCGGTGGGAAAGGGGATGGGGGAGAGAAAGATGGAGGAACAAACTGAGGAATGGGGGGAAGACAAGGGAGCAGAGGAAGAGGAGGAAAGGAGGGAGAAAATGACACTGGTAAAGAGAGGAAAAGAAAAGAGGAAGAAAGGGAAGAGAGTCAAACAGATGCAGAGATTTTTCTAACAGTGTGGACAAATAGTTAAAGAGAGAGCATGTGGTGTTTTGGGGCAAGTCTGTGCGGCAGACTGGAATTAGAATTGGCCCCTGAGGGCAACGCAGTGGTGGAGTAAGACATGAGTGGAATGTGTGTCGAGTTTTGTGTGCGTTTGTGTTAATGCATTATTGTGAGACCATGTGAGCATCACTTTACACTTTCACTGTGGTCAACAGAAAGGTGATGAGAAGAGATTTGACTGTCGATTTTTCTTTAAAGCTGTATTGAACTGTATAGTTACAGTCAGTGTCTGGTCATAGTCAGGGGGCGTGGTGTGGGTGGAGTTGGTGAGGGGAAAACAGTCCTTTCCCCAAGATTTCATTGGTCGCTTAGTTGCAGAAAAAAAATTAAAATAAAACAAACAAATGTGTAACTTTTTCAGGCACTGCACCTTGTCAAAATAAATCAAAACCTATATGACTGGACCATGTGGGAATTTAATTTGAAAGGACAGACACAGGAAGAGGCCACGCTCAGCAGTGAGACAGGAGTCACTTTACAAACCAATCACAGCTGACAGATATCTTTCCCTTCTTCTGTAAATATTCAGCTTGATAAACACAGAAAAGTTGATCATGTTAGTGCAGGGCTACCCAGAGCTTTACATCTCCTTTGACGATAGGCCTACATACTCATAAACAGCACCTGGAAGACGATCAGCTCTGCACTCAGGATTTCAGGTAAATAGGCTATACTGTGCTTATTAAGGTTGCTTAGCAACCTCTGACGCAACCTGCCGCAGCGCTCTTGAAAGCTGGCACAAAAAAGGCACAAGAGTAGCACCCAGCATCCGACCTCGCATTTTCCAGACGGTTAAAGATGTGGCTGGCTGTGGCTGGGTGGGGTGGCTGGGTGGGGTGGCTGGGGGGGAGGGCATAATATGATGTATGATCTAAGAGGCTGGCACGTTTTAGTGAATTCTACGCATGTTTCGAGACAGTACAGCAGCACCAACACTTCTCAACGCCATTAGCCTATGTTTTGACGATGTGCTATAAATTTATCAAACTGAGATTTGCAGCCTCAAGAATTACAGGTCGTTGGAGGCTCACAACTTTTTTTACCTGTGGCTGAACAATCTAAAACTGTTTAGGCAAAGAACTCCAGATCCTTGAGACAGTTAGCTGAAACATGACACCTTTTCTTTTTGAGAAATGTTGATGTAACTATTATTTAAATTGAAAACACGTCTGTTATGAAACATTCTCGGAACCCATCGGCTGTATTCGGCGTCTGACTTCTGGCAGAAGGCGATACAGCCTCTGGAGGCAGACCCCCGTTTTTTTGGCATTCCGGTTTGATTTGGGCGGAGGGGACGAATTTCCATTTCCGAATTCCGTTTATATTTAAGTAAATATGCTGAACCATTGCGATGGATTCAGAGTTTGCAGTGACGACAATTATGTTCCGCCTCGTTAGTTCACCGCACGGACCGTTTAACCTGGCAACAACTGCAGCCGGCTCAAACGTGATTGGTCAATAAACCGGACCTACAACCGGAAACCAGGGCTCCTCCGCTCTTCTTCCGGAGGCAAGATCTCCGGGGTTTGCCTACAGACTCTACGTTCACTGAATGTAGAGTCTGTATATAGAGACTAGTTATGAAAGGACAGGTCTGGTGATATTTATATTTGTTATGTCAACATCCCAGTAAAAGACCAATGCCAACACTGAATGATCTCACTCACAAAGCCTGATATATCTTATTCCTCTGTGCCATTGAGCTCCATTGTTTTCCAAGAACTTTTAAAAACCCATCAGTGAGCCACCCTGTTGCAGTGGGAGACACACTTCTTTCTTGTAAAGAAAGAACATGGGCACTGTAGTTTATTTTTAATCAATTTCACATAAACTTTCCTGTATGGGAAATGTAACAAAAAAAAAACAAAAAAAACACTTGAATGTGTATTAATCCACAGCTGAATATAGTCCCCAACAGGTGCACTACTTACTCCAGTTTGTGTAACATTTGCTAAAAACCACAGTGCCCAGCTGTTTTGAAAACTTACTGAGCCTTTTTAGGAAATGAAACTATATATCTGTGAACTGTTTTTAAAGATAAACTGTATGAAAATATAGAAAGATGGAACTAACGCTTTGTTGGTTTTGGTCTTTTCATGGGATTTATTGACAGTAACAAAAACAAGCAATAAGGCCAGCCTTACCTTTTAAGAAACACAATACAGACAGATTAAATAATTAACCCTGTTCACTGTGTTTACAGAACTAAGTTATATGGATGAGACATGACAGGATATTTTTAGTTGAGCCACATTTGAAGAACAGGACTGGGAGGATTTTCAGGTTGTTAAGTGCAGAAGCAGGTGAAGCAGAGAGGGGAGAGGCAGTAAATATTTTGTCCTCCAGATGCTGTACATTTTCATGCAAACTCAAAGAGAATTTAATGTGAACTGAGTGAAGATTCACCTTGTGCTTCTTGCTGAAAGGCCAGAGCTTGGCGCGCACTTTTGGGGGGTTGAGGCTGGAGTCAGAGGTTGCTGGTTTGATTCCTTGGCTGTAGTCTTCAAACTCCACATCTGTAGGTCGCTCAAAACCAGACTTGTGCTGCTCTATGAACAGTATCGAGTCCTGCAGGGCGACAAACAAAAAAATCATCTCACTGGATTTTTGAGGTAACTGTATTGTTTGGTATTTGTTTTTTAACATAAACACATTATCACTACAAAATCAGAACCAAGATGTACAGAGCAGGAAATTCTACAACTAAAAAACAAACTTGATTTACATATATGGAAAAGAGAAAAAAATCACAAACCCTGCTTTAAAATATTACTGCAGGAATAAAGCAACACCTGTTCGACACAGTGTCAACATGAGGGTTTGACTAAAGTAGTTTTTTTTTACAGGAGTGTTGCATTGGATTGCAACCTGTGTAAACTGAAAAAGAAACTCCTTGCAGGGTTTTCTATTATTTTGGTAATTAACATGCTCTACGACACCGTAAAGCAAGACTAACTGACTCATCATGACTACTGTAGGCTTTTACTGCCAATGTTTGTGTCTCCATTAAGACAGTCACTGACACAACAGGCTCCGTACAACATGAAAAACGTGCATTATAGTACAATGTCCACAATAACAGAAGCACAATGCAGAAATGCAAGTTCTACAAATCAAACTAGAGGTGGACCAGTTTTACAGCTTGTCTTTAAAAATTCGGGAAATTTGACCTTAGAGGGAGCCTGTGGAGTTTTAACATGCCAAGAAGTGCAGCAATTTGCAAGAACAGACAGCCAAAAGAAGGTTACAAACTCGTGGACATGGATGTAAACAATGCAGCAGAGGTGGGACCAAGTCATTGTTTTGCAAGTCACAAGTAAGTCTCGAGTCTTTACACTCACGTCCCGTCAAGACAGGCAAGTCCTAACTAGTATACAAGTCATAATCCGCTCTTCACCGAATGTAACACTATTTTAACAGCAGAGTAATAATATATTGAATTGACGGGGTGGCTGTGGCTCAAAGGTAGAGAGAGTCGTCCAATAACTGGAAGATCAGCGGTTCGATCCCCAGCTCCCCAGCTCCTAATACTGAACCCCAATTTGCTCCTGATGACCATTCCATCGGTGTGCGAGTGTGTTAAAAACTGAGTAGCAGGTGGCACCCTGTATGGTAACCTCAATCACCAGTATGATTGTGTGTGTGAATGGGTGAAAGTGACTCGTAGTGTAAAAAGAGAGGCGCTAAACAAGTTCAGGTCCATTTTACCATTTTACAAAAATCATGAATGCTTTTTAAAATTCATGTTTATTTGTTAAAACAAGTTTGTTAATAAGTTATTAAGCGGTTAAGCTAACTTTAGCTGAGCATTAGCTTGTTAACAGTGTCAATATTAGCCTTGATTTGCTGATCTTTGTTCAACTCCAAATGTCGTATGAAGTTGGCAGTTGTTGTGTCTCGGCTTATAATTTTCAACCTGCATATTTTGCATACTACAACTATTTTTTTTTTTTTTTTTTGGTCCACTGCATAGTTTTTGCACAGGAACAACATTATTTGGTTCCATTTGACTTGCTGAAAATGAATTGCATTAATGTTTCAGGAAATGAAGAGAAATGATTCATGGCACACTTTTCAAATAACATAATTTTAAATCTTTGGGCTCAAGGTTTCAAGTATTTTCGAGTAAAAAGTCTCAAGTCCAGGTTAAATCACTGGTCACTGGTCCAAGTCAAGTTGCAAGTCTTTTTTCATTTCGTCAAGTTGAGTCTAAAATCATTTAATCTGTGACTCAAGCTCACAGCTCTGCAATGCAGGATTCAAAATACGCCTACTTACAAAAATCATATTTGAAAGTGTTATGTGAGTGTGTATTGTTAAGGAAATGTATTCAACACATTTGTTAGGCCTCATGGACATGCACAATGCATCTCAGTGACGCTGTATGTAAACATAATGTTGTTTGTTTACAAGAAAACTCCACTGGGCATCTTTAAATTGCAAAAGGTACCACTCTAACATGTGTATGGTAAAGATGAAGCTATAACCAGCAGGTAATTAGCTTAGCTCAGCATAACAACTAGAAATAGGGGGTAACAGCTAGCCTGGTTCCTTCTCCAAAGATAACAAAATCTGAGGTTATCTGCGAGACTTTTTCTTGGCCAGGTGCAATGATTTCCTGGAGTCTCCTTTGATTGACGTCAAGCCTTCAGGAAGTGTATTGTGGGAGGTAAGTTTTCCTTGTTTGTATCATCCAGGGGAAAATGATAGCTCAGTTTGACCTGTATACCTGTAGTCTCTAAAACATCTAACATTCACCTGTTTCTCATTGATTTTCACTCCTGCTGAAGAGATTCCCTCTAAACATTTGGAGATGATGGGCAGCACCTTCTTCTCGATGTCTGAAAACTGACAGTAGCCTTCGGCCAGTCGCCGAATCCTCCGCTCATCCATGTCCTGCATTTTCTGCTCGACACACAAACACACAACCTTTAATTTCCTGTTATATTCGCACTGTCTGTGTTGAATTTGTACATATGAATGTGTAAGAAAACACAGGAAGGATTACATTTTGAAAGGGTATGAGTGGTTTCACCACTTTAACAGACGTGTGAGCTTTGCCCAGTTGTACTTCATTGTGTGTGTATGTGTTTCCGTGTGCCTTTGTCTCACATTGAAGATCTGCGGTATCTCTGTGTAGTAGAAGAAGTTCTGTTCCTTGTTGTATTTCTGGAGCTGTGCAGCATAGTCGCTCCTGCACTCCTCCGCTGTGTGTGTACGGGAAAGGGCATGATGCTTGGCCTTCAGAGCGAAAGATAGGTGGAGTGACAGGAGAGAAAGGGAGGGGAACATGAAAGGATGCAGGAAGAGGGAGATGTGATGATGCAAAACAAAATGCAAAGTAGGAGAAATGCAGGAACAGATGCAGGGAGGAAGTGGAAGGAGGAGACAGAAGGAGGTAAAAGAGGACACAGAGGGAGACAGACAAGGGACATTCAAGGATTTCTTTTATTGACTGAAAATATCATAAAAACCAGAGGTTCCTCTTCAATGTGTGTGTGTGTGTGTGTGTGTGTGTGTGTGTGTTTACTTTCTCGACATCGAGCTTGGTGGCATTGAGGTCGTTCTCTGTTTTTTCTGCTTGTTGTGTGGCTTTTTCAGCCTCCGCCCACTCCTTGGCAAAGCGCTTCTTAGTCTGCAGACACACACACACACACACACACACACACACACACACACACACTTTAATGCACTTAAATGAACAGAGCTTCAGTATTAACGATGCAAGAGTCAGAGAATTCAGCCTCACTCCAGTTACTAAAAATGCAAGTACACTGTCCACTACATAAAGTACATTATGTCACCATATGTTAAAGGGTCAGTTAACACATAATAGAAACAACAGATGTATTTAATCATTTGCCTCTGGTGGCATCTACATGTAGCAGTGCAGATAGACTTTGTTTTATTTGACCTGGCTTTGAGATATTTCTCTCACGGATTCTTTCCTGCAGCCCCAAAGTTGTTCCAATTCACGGCTCATAACTGATCTATAAAACATTATTAAATGATTAATTAACTAAACTTAAGTCATCAATTAAAGGTGCAGTGTGTAGGATTTAGGGGAATTTATTTGCAAAAATGGAATGTAATATAATGAGTATGTTTTCATGAATTTATAACCACCCGAAAATAAGAATAGTTTTTTTCGTTATCTTAGAATGAGCCGTTTATATCTACATAGGGAGCGGGTCCTTGTTTACAGAGATCGCCATGTTGCACCGCCATGTTTCTACAGTATTGTTAGAAACTTAATTCTTAATATATGTTGAAATGCATGTTTGTCTTTAACAAATTGCACATTTTTGCATGTTCAGCAGAGCTGCTCCACACAGATGACTAGACTTTAAGTTAAGCTAGTTTAACAAATATTTGGAATTAATTTATTATGTGAGAACTGAAGTGTAAGAACTATTGGGAAATTTTAGAAAAATGACACATATGTACAATAAAGCTTTAAAACACAAAAACTATTTGCATGATGAGATACTACAAGAGGTAGGTGAGATTTTTTTTTGTCCTAATTTAGGTATGTTGTAAACAAACTAACAAACAAACAAACAAACAAACATGTAACTCACACTTTCTAGTTGTTTAAAGCTGCTCTCTAAATTCTGCTGGGCCTTCTTGGCATCAGATAGGTGCTGCAGAAGAAAGAGGTTTCAGTTTATGTGCTGCAGTTTAAGATGATCACACAGTGCAGCACATCAATCTGCAATCTGCCAAACCTCCCTCTTCCCTCCCCTGTGTGATCCTCCCCCCTCTCTCACTGTTTTGCGTTCCTGTTTGAGATCCTGAAGGTACTTGGTGAGTTCCACACAGATGCCGGTCATCATGTTTTCAGCAATGAGCTCCCGCTGGCCAGCGTAATCGTTCAGCTCATTCAGGATCTCCTGGAATGATGCGTGGTTGCTGAATCTGCAGCACGGAGGGAGAGACAATTTGGAAAGTCATCACAGCTGGAGAGACACATTTAATTGACCATCGCTAAACCCCTCCCCCAAACAGGACCTGTCCAACCATGGCTTAGCAACTGTAGGCTAACTCAGCACAAATGGTCTGTAAAGCTTTGGATTTCACCCCTTTCCAAAGCAATGTGCATGATGCTGGTAACACATGAGCACAACTGAAAGGACCAAATAACTCTGTGTTTATGTCTGTAAGTTGCAAACCCTGGCATGTGTCTGGCCTACTAGATTACTAAATACAGCAGAAAACGGCATTATTTTCAAGATATCTACATTATTTAGTTTCTTTAGTAAAATATCTTGTCAAGACGGGAACATCCACCCTGTGGGAGCGAAGATGCTTCTTCCAAGATTAGAGTTTAGTGTAAATGTGGTAGCACTGTCCCGCTCTTTTTTTGGACTGAGGAAGTTTAAAACCCAGAAACTCCAACCAAACTTGTCTAAAATTATCAATGTTTATTTCACATCCTCAAATTATTTTCTCTTTTACCAGTAAAACCTACGCTTTGAAAATAAGCATCAGCAATAAGCATCCAAACCATCCAAGGGTTACATCACAATTAATAATTAAAGTTTTTACTTAGAATACTGCACTGTAATACTATACAATATACAAACAATGGTGCGGCATGTTTTCTCTGTGGATCATCATCTGGTTAGGATACGGATTTCTTTTACCTGTAGTTCTAGTCTTTTGAACAATGTCATGTTGCTATCTACATATCAAAGACCCTCTTACAGGGTTCTCATTTTATAAGGAGTCAGTGCAAAACATTAAAGTCCGGGTAAAGCAGAAATAAATATGTTTAATGAGTTTGTCACGCAACAGAAAAGTGTGTTATTACACACCCAGCCAAATCTAAATGATAAAAAAGAAGCCAATTCTATAAAATTACATTTCAAAATTATAAAAAGATAGGCAGTATTCTCTGCTCTGAGATACTGGGGGCGTGTCCGCTGAATGTGCTGAAGCCACACCCACTCACGGAAAAGCTGCAGCCTCTTTTAACTGTAGCACTACAATGAATGCTCTGTCTAGCAGCTTTAGGCCCCGATTACGCAGGACATATTTTGCAGGCCGCAAAACCTGAGGTGTGCCACACTGCTTTTTTCGAATGAATGCCACTAGTAAAAAAATACAACGCCTGCTGCACCACTTTATTGTTGCCAGGCAACCACCCCATCACCTCCTTACATTCCCGTGTAATCAATGTACTGTTTATCTATTTTATTTATTTGACAGTAATCAGTATATAGTTCCTAAAATGTTGAGGCAGAGGGTACCTGCTGTAGCTCTGGTTGAGAGAGAGGCTGTCAGCAAATAGTTTGTTGGACACAGGGAAACAGAGATCTGTGTGCGTCCACGAGACCCTAAAAAAGAGGGTGGATCATGGGGAGAACCACCAGCTGGTCCAGGAGCTTCACCTCCATGATGGCTGTTTCCAGGCATATTATAGGATGACTCAGGGGCAGTTTGACAACCTGCTGTCTATCGTCAGGCTGTATAGCTCTTGGTATCTAGCAACAGCTACATTACCACCAGTTTCTCCTCCATTGTTTGCCAGCTGTAAACTTGTTGTCATGACCACCACAGATGGCCTGCCTCTCAAATCATCCAACTGGACGATGGGGAAAAGGCCATGATGACGGGAGGAGTTTTTCCGCACTGAGTTGAAGTTTTTTTAACTCAAGGTGTCCAGAGCGTTTGGGCAGAAACGCGAGGCGCATAGCAACGCAAAAACCGTGAGCCAAAAGCTTCATTCTCATTTAAATTTGAGCCAACAGAGCCAAGATCAATTCAGAACCAGAGGAAACTGACCCGCCTGACAATCAACTGAGTTCGTCTCAGTCTGCAACAGAATGGTTATTTTTATTTATTTTTTCAAACAACAAAACTCAGTGGTTTTAGTTCTGATATAATGTAGGGGCGGGGCTTATGCTCAGGGTTGCCCCATTGTGCCATCAAGCAGGCTTTTAGTCCCAACCAAAAAATCCTGGACACAGAAATGGTGAAAAACAAACAGTCTGACATGTTTAATGTACTTGGATGTAAACTCAGATTTTACTTTTCCCTGACTTTAAAGGAGCTGTGAACAATATTCAGAGTGTGTGAGTGTTTCAGAGTCTGATTCAGAGGTGCTGCACATGGTTCCCATCATGAAGGTGGCTGAGCCAGCGGCTAGCAGTGCTAACAGACAGCTAAATATGTTAACCTTGGGGGAGAACCAGAGGCTGGTGGGTCGCTGTGGGTCGGGATGACATTATCAGCAGTAACCACCATGTGAGCACAGTGTAGAGCGGGATTGATTTGCCAGCCAGTGGGATACAAACATGGGACTCACATGCAGTAATATAAACCGTGTCATATTTGACAACATAGACATTCATGGGTCCTTTTGTATTTCCTGTTGGGAGTGATTTGCAGTGTATTGTGAGTGACATCAACTGAGAGGAAGTAAACAGGGACATGAAATGGTCTATACACACTCAGCTGGACCGGCTACCACAACAATAAACAGAGAAGCTCAGACAACAACACTCACACTCAGGGGGTGTGTGACTTCATTCTCTGCTTGGGACACCATTGTTCCACTATATCTGTACATAGCAAATATGTGTTTGCTGCTATATCAATGCTCTGAATGTCACATACAGCTCCTTTAAAGAGTCAACTGAGGATGGAGTTTTTCAACAACCCACAGTGAGTTTTAACATTAACATTATGTTACACTACTTTGCTATATTTGTCATTTCAGCCGACAGAATCCGCTGTTGTCAGCTCAAAATGAGAAGCCTGTTGTTGTTTACATTTGTGTGAAATCAAAGACCTATTGTTTCAAAATTTACTGCTGAGTAATAAATCTGCCACCGTTATCACTCCTACTGCATATGTGTGGTGCAAGGGAGCTTTACAGAGTTACTGCAAAAGCAACTAAGGCGGTTTAGTGAACATTCAATTGTAATTTTTAAATATGCAAACTAAGCACAGGAACATTTTATTGTTGTCTCACTTGCAGTCTTGCTCATCTTTGCTCCCTCGTTTGGCATATTTCTTTGATAGACTCCTGTTAGTGAAAAAGAAGCAGTGTGAGTATTACACACACAAACATAAATGCACAAAGACACAAATACGTTTAGGATCACAATTTATGTAAATATGAACAAACAAGCTCATGAAAAGCAAAAATCACACCTGAGTTGTTTGGCATAGCTCTGCTCTATCTCTGTCCGCTCCTTCACAAACTTTATGTAACGCTCCACCAGGTCGAGGCCTGACTGCGTGTGCTTGTCAATGTGATCATACTGGTCCTAAGAGGGGAAAAGCACAGAGCAACACATGTTTCAATACATGTTTAAGAACACAAATGCTGGAGAAACACGTAGCTGACACATTACAGTCTAAAGGATTTGGGGTTGTGACACATTTTCATGATTTGGCTCTGTGCTTCAGCACTTTGGATTTGAGATGAAGTGAAAGTTGTTTCATCAGTGGGACTCGCAGTTGTTTTTGTGCATGGTCCAAATTTAAGACAATGTAACAGGATATTGATCCTAAACATACACACAATAGGACAGGGGAGTTTTTTTTAAAAAAAGGTCAAAAAGTGAAACGCTCTGGACTGGCCAAGTCAGTGACATGCCCTCAGTCTAAGTCATGTGGTTCATCTACAGACGGCCAGACTGAAAGCAAAAAGAAACAAGAAGTGAAACCGGCTGCAGTCCAAGCCTGAAATCCATCAATAGGGAACATAACTAGTTTCTGTTTATGTCAGTGAAACTTCAGACTAGAGCTGAAATGCTTGGTTGATTAATTGATTAGCTACAACTGTTTTGATTAATCCTTTAAATAATATTTCAAAAATTGTTCGATGTTTTCTGAAATGTGAGTATCAGTTTCTTTTCTTTCTCTTATGTAAAACTCTAAAACTGCACTAAATATTTTGGGTTTTGGACTGATGGGCACCACCCTAGGTTTGCAGGATATTGAGATGGCCTTTTTTAAAACTATTTTCTAATATTTTATTGACTAAACCATTAACCGAGACAGTAATTTGCAGATTATTTTTAGCTGCAACCTTACTTCAGACAGGCACTATCTGTAAAGTAATTCATTCTCCACATTTTGGTCCCCTAAAACTGGAATACTGTGTAAAAAGAGGCCTCAATTCCTACATTGTTTGTGTAATGTGACTTTTAAACTTTTGTTTTATGGATTTTGTTGCACCCACAGATTGTATAAAGCAATGGACATAACTATTGTGACATCACATTTGTGGACTTCTGTTTTAAAGCCTCAAGTTCAGCATTTTTGTTTTTTGGGGCCAGAAGTGACCATATTTGGACAACAGGGTGGAGCAGGGAAGAAGTGAGGGGTGGATTTTGAAATTAGCTATATGAGACCAAAACCGTTTTTTGTACCAGGCTGTCAACATGTTTATTCCTGCCGTAAAGTTCAGCATGGGGGGGTCTATGGGGATTGACTGACTTCTGGAGCCAGCCTCAAGTGGCCATTAGAGGAACTGCAGTTTCTGGCACTTTCATTTTAGCTTCATTTTTCAGCTTGCTGTTTGGCTGTTCTGTCTGTTCTTTTATTGAAATTCTTCCTTTCGTGTAAGGTACATCTCACGACTTTCTCTTTTAAAAATATAGTCAGTATTTTGTCATTAAAGATGCATCGATGTCTCTGTTTCCTACACTACAGTGTCTACTAAGTGAGTGACAGAGAATCAGAGGCTGCAGCAAACTGTGGAGATAAAGATGGCTTCTTTAATTAAACAAACTTGTTTTCATTACTGATTAATCTGCTGACTATGTTCTGTCAATTAAATGTTAAAGAGTTAAAACATAACCATCACTATATCCTAAAGCCCGAGGGGATGTCATTAAATTGCTTCTTTTAGTTGACCAACAGCCCAAAACTCAAAGATGTTCAGTTCACTGTCACATTGGATCTGTAGCAAATCCTCACAACTGAGAAGCTGGAATTAGCTCATATTTCGCATTTTTGCTTGAAAGTAGACATAATGAATGTGTCCTGCATTATTAACACACTGTCTGACATCTGCAGACACTGAGAGCAGCCCTGTACTGGAATTCAAGGCTGCAATTAACGTTTATTTTCAAATTCCCGGAGCCAAAGGTGACGTCATGAAATGCCTTTTTTGTCTGACCAACAGTCCAAAACTCAAACATTTGCAGTTAACTATCACAGACGAGCAGAGGTGTACATTTTGGGGGCGATGCTGGGGACATGTCCCCCACAATATTGGGAAACTGTGCATTTACATCATAAATTAATGCAGAAAATTCTATAACATGCAGGACATCAAGTGTTTAATGCTCAAAATTTTTTGGCCGTGGACTGCCAAATACCCCATTTCATATTTGGCCCCCCAATGTTGAGACACCCTTGCAGACAAATAATAAAACCAGGAAATATTCACATTTCTGGAACAAGAACGACTAAATCTTTTGCAATTTCTAAATGTTTAATCTATTACTAAATAGTCGATCGACTATTTCACCAGGCTGTGAATCTGACACAAATGGAAACTGGAAGTCAAAAAATAACCCCATAATCGCGCGCGCGCACACACACACACACACACACACACACACACACACACACACACACTGTATCCTTCAAACAAATTTTTCAATTTCTACTACGCACAGAAAGCACAAAGGCGTAGTAAAGAATAAAAGCAAACTCTCCTTTCAACATTCCTCTCTCTTTACACACATCTGTGCTTTCAAAACACACACATACACACACACAAACCTGTCAGACAGGTAACATTAGTCCTCTCTGTCCCCACTGGCTTAAAGCTACACAGAGTCATGACATACAGTAAGGAGCTCAATGAAGGTGAATGTGACAAAGAACACAATGAAAGACTCCACCTTTTGGGTGTTAGAGTGTGTGTGTGTGTGTGTGTGTGTGTGTGTGTGTGTGTGTGTGTGTGTGTTTGTGTGCGTACAGAGGCTGCAGGGTCTTTTGGAGCCAGAGACATAGATATTAGAGTCCTCAGAGGAGGGGGAAGCTAAATGGAGATCATACAGTAACACAGTTAGCAGTGTCCTGGATACGAGAGAGCTGGGAAGGAGGAAGGAGCAGGATTAAAAAAAACACAGAAGGACGATGGAGAGAAACAGACGTTCTGAGTGATCGAGGTAATCAGATGGATGAGAAACTAACTGCAATGAAGAGATTAAAGAGCTTGTGAAGAGTCGTTGAGATATATTCCTGCATGCACTTCACCACTTCTGTTGCTACGCCCCATTACTTTATTGTAACACATCTGCGTGTTTGTGCGAGAGGAGGAAATACTGATAGTCAGACAGAGAGGGTTCAGGAATGAGATAATCATTAGCTCAGTGCGAACCTCCGCCCTGTGACTGACGGTCCCAAGGGCCTCTACAAACCCTGGAACCAGTCAGACTAGTCCCACCCCTCACTGTGACGACACTCAGCAGCATGTGTTTCCTGATCCAGGCTGATCTAAGGTCAGATTCAAGCTCACCTCAAGCATAATGTAAGATATTTAACTGGTTGCACCAGTTATCCAATAAGTTTGTGTTAAGTTCTTATTAACTACTGTTTCAAAGTATTGATTTACTAAATCAGGTTGCACCATCAAAACTTTTAATGTCTTGGTAAAGACTTTAGTGATGTGTGAATCAGTTGCTAGGACACATCTGTAGCCCTGCCCTACTGAAAACAATCAACTTTGCAAACAGGAAGAATCAAAACCTCCATCATAACTTGCAAAAAATTACAGTTTTAGCTGCCAGTCCTACTTTGTTTTATTGATGCATGCACAGACAGAGAAATGTGTGTGATTCAGTTAGTTGTATAAAATAAATCTGCTGATCATTTAGCAAAATATACTGTCATACTGTTTTACTGAGGTACAGTACAGGCCAAAAGTTTGGACACACCTTCTCATTCAATGCATTTTCTTTATTTTCATGACTATTTACATTGTAGATTCTCTCTGAAGGCATCAAAACTATGAATGAACACATGTGGAGTTATGTACTTAACAAAAAAAGGTGAAATAACTGAAAACATGTTTTATATTCTAGTTTCTTCAAAATAGCCACCCTTTGCTCTGATTACTGCTTTGCACTCTCTTGGCATTCTCTCCATGAGCTTCAAGAGGTAGTCACCTGAAATGGTTTTCCAACAGTCTTGAAGGAGTTCCCAGAGGTGTTTAGCACTTGTTGGCCCCTTTGCCTTCACTCTGCGGTCCAGCTCACCCCAAACCATCTCGATTGGGTTCAGGTCCGGTGACTGTGGAGGCCAGGTCATCTGCCGCAGCACTCCATCACTCTCCTTCTTGGTCAAATAGCCCTTACACAGCCTGGAGGTGTGTTTGGGGTCATTGTCCTGTTGAAAAATAAATGATCGTCCAACTAAACGCAAACCGGATGGGATGGCATGTCGCTGCAGGATGCTGTGGTAGCCATGCTGGTTCAGTGTGCCTTCAATTTTGAATAAATCCCCAACAGTGTCACCAGCAAAACACCCCCACACCATCACACCTCCTCCTCCATGCTTCACAGTGGGAACCAGGCATGTGGAATCCATCCGTTCACCTTTTCTGCGTCTCACAAAGACACGGCGGTTGGAACCAAAGATCTCAAATTTGGACTCATCAGACCAAAGCACAGATTTCCACTGGTCTAATGTCCATTCCTTGTGTTTCTTGGCCCAAACAAATCTCTTCTGCTTGTTGCCTCTCCTTAGCAGTGGTTTCCTAGCAGCTATTTGACCATGAAGGCCTGATTGGCGCAGTCTCCTCTTAACAGTTGTTCTAGAGATGGGTCTGCTGCTAGAACTCTGTGTGGCATTCATCTGGTCTCTGATCTGAGCTGCTGTTAACTTGCGATTTCTGAGGCTGGTGACTCGGATGAACTTATCCTCAGAAGCAGAGGTGACTCTTGGTCTTCCTTTCCTGGGTCGGTCCTCATGTGTGCCAGTTTCGTTGTAGCGCTTGATGGTTTTTGCGACTCCACTTGGGGACACATTTAAAGTTTTTGCAATTTTCCGGACTGACTGACCTTCATTTCTTAAAGTAATGATGGCCACTCGTTTTTCTTTAGTTAGCTGATTGGTTCTTGCCATAATATGAATTTTAACAGTTGTCCAATAGGGCTGTCGGCTGTGTATTAACCTGACTTCTGCACAACACAACTGATGGTCCCAACCCCATTGATAAAGCAAGAAATTCCACTAATTAACCCTGATAAGGCACACCTGTGAAGTGGAAACCATTTCAGGTGACTACCTCTTGAAGCTCATG